TAGTGTTCATCTGCTTTGTCAGTTTGGGGGAATTTCGTGATAGTTTCTCTGCTGGAGGGCGGCCTCTTCTCCTTAGCTTTTTCCACATCTTCTTTTGCAGGATCTTTATCCATTTCTTCGTCTTTTTCGCTTAAGCCGTACTTCTTCCATTTCTTCCAAATTGCTGTCTTCAATGGCCCGCAGCCACTGCTTCTCAGGGAGGGCATCGCTGTAGTCCACGTCCCGGTGCTGGCAAGACCCTCTACCACATATTTTCTCCTCCTCTTCTTCACATGTGAGCCTTTCTACTTCAGTGTCATCTTTATAATCCAGGAGGGCAGCTTATCTTCCTCCATTGAGGCCTGCACTTTCGGTTCCGGGCATCCTCCCTCCGCTGATCCATGTCCATACACCTTCCCCAGGTCTCAAGAGCAAATGAGGCTGCAGCAGGGCTGAGTTAGTGCCAATGGGTTGCCTTAAGTTATTTATGCTCTACAGGAGAGTAGGGTTTACTACTAGCTGAAGGCCATACTCTGCTGCAGCCTCAGTTAATGGTAAAAGCTTAGTCGGTGGAGACGGCCTTGGATCAGAAACGTGAGGGCTGCTGATTGAGTGGAACGTCCAGGATATGGTAGTAATGATAATGTTGAGGGCACCTCCCTTAAAGGCTTTTTTCTAAAGGTGAGGCTGGAGAAGGGGGGCACCTATGGAATGGCCACTAGATGGTGCTGTGGTAAGAGTTTGCCTGTATTTGAATATAGAATACCTGTACATATGGGATTTCTGACTAGGTGCCTAGGCGTTTGTAAGTCATTAGGTTGGAATATGGTATTGTGATTTAAGTTTCCATACATTGGCTAGGATTCCCCATCAGCTAACTGATATTCAGGCCAACCATTATTTTGTTAAAAAAAAAAAAAAATCAGTCATTCGTTCTTTAGAGTTTAGAGGTCAAGCTGTGACCAGTTCGCAAGGATATAGCGTAGTGGGGTTCCACCTGGCATGGACTCCTAATTACCCATCTGGAAGGAAGAAACACTAGAAGATCAGAGAGCCTACATTTGGGGTCATAACCTGAGAGTCTCAGCATTTTAGAACCAAGACTGCTTTATCCTGAATGGAGGTCTCCATTGTGGACGGATGTAGAGACACTTGGAAGCACAATAGGCCAGAGAGCCCAATGTCTTGGTGTTGTAGCCTGAGCTCAACATTCCCGGGATCTGAGACCCTGACGCAGAGCCCCTGAGTATCCAGAACAGACATCTGTTATGGACAGATCCTTCCAGAGTGTTTGTTCCTATCTTCCTTTGGCCAACAGGAGGAGTTCCCTGATACAAGTGCTATCTGACTTTGTCTCTCAAGGGGAACCAGAGAAGGGAAAAACACAAGGGATGGGCAGTGGTACAGCTATCCTATGAGACAGTGGCAAGGCTCTCTGGCAGAGAGGGATGGTGGTCAGGCCACCCTCCCCTTCTCTGGATTTCTGGGGGCTGTGTACCCTGAGATGGTATAGAGCTTAAAGCTGCAAATGACAAGTGAGCATCTGTTTCTCCTGGGTGATGGCTCTTGCTCTTCCTTTGCCCTGTCTTGATTGTTAAAAACACTGATGGCTCTTTCTATCAGTTGCTTAGTGGGTGGATGCATTCCTAGAAGTGCTTGGACCTTGGCAGACTTAGGGTTGATGTTTGTGTACTTTTTTAAAGTTTTAGTTAATTGTCCCTGAAAGGGACAATTATAAAGAATTTTTAATCTTTCCCTCTTGTCCTTCGTGTGTCCTAGTTCATAGGCCTAGTTAGGGTGCTGACCCAGGATCGCATTCCCCTGGTTGACGTATGCCATTGATCATGAGGGCCGGCTGATTTCACTAGAATGAGCCCTAGCAGGCCCCCTTTGTGTCCCTGTGTCTACAGCACCGCAACGAGAGCGAGCAGTCTGCAAGTTACCCCGTGAGGTCGTAATTCAGTGATTACAATTGACAAAGGATTTTTGCTTTTCGTAACATTTTGAAATAACACTAAAAATCATAAATGAAAGTGTATCAGGCTGAGAAATCAATTTCTTTGTCCCCACCTGTCCATTTTACCTGGGGTTTCTATTGGAAAATAATGATGGGCTTTGGAAAAGTGAAGGGAGCTCTTGGCTTTTTTTGTCGTTTGCTATTTATCTATGTGCCTTTCCTTATTTCTAGTTTTCCTCATTCCAAATTCCCTCCAAGTTTCCTTTTCCAGTGCCCTTTCCTTTTTCCTTTCTCTCCCTTTTTCACTTCCATTACTTTTTTGCTCCTTCCCCCTACACATTTCTTCAACTTGCAGACTCTGCAACTTATATGGACCCTCTGCAAGATAAACAGACCCTCTGCAACATACTCAATCCTTCTGTGACTTGGAGTCCCTTCTGCAAGACACAATATTCTAAAATAACTATTAGAATTATAAATGAAAGTATATTAGAACTTTGATTTTGGAGATGTTTATATAATGTCTTTATTTAACAAAGCTTTGCATTTATTTTAAGTATATTAGACAAGCCTTATTAGTCTAAAATTCCTCTTTTGTAAGGAGAATAAATCCTTGAGTTATTTCAGGGGTCCTTTGAGATACCCCAAAGACATCTTTAGGGTAAGAAACTCTTTTAAAATTTAAACCCTGGAAAGTTTGCCAAACATACCTGACCTAAGGAATAAATTATGAAATGATACTTGACTATTTATTTAAGGTGACAATAAAAGGCATGAAATACCAATAGAGGCTGACAAAATTTCAGTTAAGAGACATGAATTTTCTTCGAAAAGTTAAATAAGCATTTGATTAACACACCATGACACATAATTATTTTAATACTTTGCTTTTTAGGCAGATACAGGAAAAACTTTCCTCCACTTACCATACTGAAAAGAACCAACCAAATTTTGTATTAGCTTATTTATATATTTTTTTCTCAAGATTTCTTTTTACAAACCTTCAATTTGTATGGACTTTGTGCAACATACACAGTCCCTCTTTAAATTTATTTTTTGTTCATTCAGAAATAAAAGTTCTCCCCATTGGCAGATACGGTGCTGAAAAGGGAAGTGTTTTGTTATCTCATAACCTTGGCAACTGAATGGAGGCTAGGGGGGGTTGGCAGGGGCATGGGTATCAGGCATGGAAGACCTTCAGCCACTTCAGTTTTAAAAGTACCAGTTATTTTCTCTTTTGCACATTTGAGGGAGAGGGTGTTACTGCCTCTGGAGATAGTGAAACAAAGGAAATACTTAGGGTGGAGGAAGTAACAGGAGAGAACCGAGGCGGGCTGCTTTGGCTCCTTAGAGAGTGTGGATAGGAAAGGAGCAGGGCTGCCTTTGTTCACCTGGAGTCAGTGAAAAGGTGGTGGGTGGGGGTGGGGGAGACAGGATACGGGTAAGCCCAGGCTGAGCTTCCCCTGCCTCCCCCACCCCCGCTCCCCCGCCGTCCCCTGGTTGCAAGTCGTCTTGGGACCCTTGGAATTTACAGAGAGAGGAAAACATTCACCTGGCAAATACAACACTACCCCTCTGGGGAGATACAGCAGGCTGACAACAGGTTAATGATTCTTACTGTTCCCTGGCCGTGGTTTAGAGGCAGACAAGACTAGGGGATCTTGAGTAGTGGGTCGAAGTGTGCTGTTTATGAAAGGGCTTCCAAAGGCCATTAGGCCTTTGGTCACCCCCAGCTCTTATGAGTCTTGGTTTCTGTCCTGGTCTAACACAGCCAGGGGGGCTCAGAGTGCTAGGAAACCAACCCTTATTTTCCATGTCCCTGGACAAGCCAGTTACATTACAGTGATGGGAGTTCCCTACGAGGTCCCTGCACATTTTAGGATTAACCCCAGACACCTCCATGAGGCCCCCACTCACGCAGGCATGCCTGAGAACTCGGACCTGAGGGAGAACGTGCCTCTTCTGTCTCCGGAGCCCAGGCAAACCTGAGCGCTCATCTCATATCTTACCCTTGCTTCTGCCTCTGAACATCCCTCCTCTATAGAGCTGCTGCGTCTCCTTTAACCCCGAAGGTGAGACAGGCAATAAAAACATTGCTGGTGAGGCTGTTACTCACTGTGTTCCGGACAGCTGGAGACAAAGGGTGGAATCCGAGTCACGGCACCAAAACATGTTACAGAGAGACCCAAGTCAGGAGACCTCCTCCCCTGCCTTGGTTCTTGTCTTGCTCCCAAGAGATTAATTCAAATGAGAGACAAACACATATAGGGGAAATGAAATAGCAAGTTTATTTATGAAATACACATGAGCACAAAGTGGCAAGCAGGCACCCAGCTAGTCTAAATGCCCCATGTATAGAGGAAAGAAAGTTGTTAGTAAATTTGTTAGTAAATTAGTGAGTTTGTTCTATACACTTGAGCTGAAGCTACAAGTAGGTACTTAGCTAATCTAAGTATGCCAACTATTGGGGTTCAGAAGTTATTGACCTTAGTCAGCTTTTAGGTTTCCCCTCCTCCTCCCCCATCTAAATCCTGGGAATAATGTACAGCTACAAAGGCTGGCTTTCTCAGTTAACAAAGACTGTCTGTCTTAGTGAGATTGCTACAGAGGCTTCCTTTCCCAGCACAGTCTCAAGGACTCCTGTGCTATTCCTGCTTGTGATGTTCACAACACCTGGCTATCTTATCAGACCAGGCTCCAGACTGCTGAGTTAATTGATGAGACATGACTTTCTTCTGTTTCTAGCCTCCTCTATTAAGTTCTTTGTTAGATTGTAACAGTGAGGGCCCTGCCTTTATTTCCCCTCTGGCCACTCATTCCTAGCTGCTACCTAACAACCCCAAAACACACCCACATCTCTGAGGCTAACTTGAAAGATGATCCAAATGGCTAGTGCAACTAAGGAACTGGATTTTATATTTCCTTTCATGTTAATTATATAAATTTAAATAGCCACATGTGGCTAGTGACTATTGTATTAGTGCAGTTCTTAATACTACAAAAATTCATGTTCAGTGATTGAACATGCATTAAAAAAAAAAAAAAAAAAAAGGAATCCTTTCTTCCTTAAGACCCAGCAAAACAGCCAGGAAATCAGATTGTTCAAAAAGAATTTTTCTCTGGGTAAATCCCTGAGACCAATAATGATTTATTGCCACCCAATCAGTAAAGAGGAAATAAGGCAATTCAATGGTAATCTAAGCTCTCAGGTGTCATTCTGCTTTAGGGTTATGTTTTAGGTTTTCATTTGAAGCTCTTCCTATCTTCCCTTAGATCAAAACAAATTTCTTCTTGTCTCCATTCCTGACAGAATCTCTCATGGCAGATTCACTGATCTGGTGATCTGGGTCTTCCCATCCTTAAACTTAGAAGTTAACTTTTTCTAGATGTTTTGGTGAACAAGCCAAAAATACTTTGTAGCATAATGATCAGAGAATACCTTAATTGTAATGGTCCAAAAAGGAGGAAAAAAAAAAAGAAGAAGAAGAAGAAAGAAAAGTGGGTCCTGGGACTTAAGAGGAAGATGAATTTGGGACTGAAAACAAAGAGATGAGGATGAGTTACCCTAAACAGTTTTTCAAAGTCCACTCATGAGGGAAATCTTCAACTTCAAGAGACTCAAAAGACTTTCCTCTGGGAATTTTCCAATGCTGACTGAAGTAGGCACTTCTGCTGAGCATTTCTCAGTTGGTACATTTGTAAGGTTTTGCTCCTATGTGGGTCCTCCTATACGGTTAACGCTTTGACTGAGGCACTCACCACAATCAGGACATTTATAAGGTTTCTCTCCTGCGTGCATCCTTTGGTGAATCACTAGGATGGAATTCTGACTAAACGTTTCCGAGCACTCAGAACATCTGTAAGGTTTTTCTCCTGTACAGGTCCTCTGATCTCTAATGAGATGGGAGCTAAGGCCAAAACTCTTTCCTCATTAAATGAGGTCTGTCCAGAAAAGATTTAGGCATTGTTATCATAACATGAACAGTTTGTGCAACATCAATGTAACCTGGCAGCCAAGGAAAGTAGACTGGAATGTACATGTGTGAACAATGACTGTACTAGTCATTGGGGGTGGTAGATGCTGTTGAGTTATGTGTACTGTGTGACCGTCACATTCAAAATGACTGAGCCAGTAGAGCAATGAATCTGCATCCAATTTTGCAGTAAGCTTGAACATTCCTCTGTGGAAACTATTAGGATGATTCAGAAGGCAACAGCTATGGGCAACTGGTGATTGGCAGCTTCATCACAACAACATGCCAGCTCATGCATCACAGTGCGTACAGTTTTTTGGTGAAACATCGAATCACCCAGATGACTCAGCGCCCCCTACAGCCCAGATTTGGCACCCTGCAACTTCTGGCTTTTCCCAAAACTAAAATCACCTGTGAAAGGGAAACGATTTCAGACTGTCAATGAGATTCAGGAAAATAAAACGGGGCAGCAGATGGCGATTGGGAGAACTGTGTGAGGTCCCAAGGTGCCTACTTTGAAGTGGACTATGTACAATGTTTCTTGTATCGTCTTCAACAAATGTCTCTATCTGCCATGTTACATGGCTGGATACTTTCTGAACAGACCTCCGTATGTACTCTCTGATGCTTTATTAGAGTAGAATTACAACCAAAGCTTTTTCCACACTCAGTACATCTGTAGGGTTTCTCACCTGTGTGTGTCCGCTGATGGCGAATCACGCTGGAACTCTGACTAAAACCCTTTCCACAATCAGAGCATTTATAAGGTTTTTCTCCAGTGTGAGTCCTCTGATGTTCTATTAGGACGTAACTGTGGCTGAAGCATTTCCCACAAACAGGACATTCATATGGTTTTTCCCCAGTGTGTATCCTGTAATGCTGAATAAGGTGAGAGCTGCTGCTGAAACTCTTCTCACATTCGGGACATTTATAGGGTTTCTCTCCTGTGTGAGTCCTCTCATGGATAACAAGATGAGAGGTATTACTGAAGTTTTTCCCACATTCCCCACACTGGTAGGGCTTCTCTCCTGTGTGTGTTCTCAGATGCTGGATCAGGTGAGAGCTGTTACTGAAGCATTTCCCACACTCAAAGCATTTATAAGGTTTTTCTCCTGAGTGGGTCCTCTGGTGAGCACGCAAATGAGAACTATTATTGAAGCTTTTCCAACATTCAAAACATTTATAGCGTTTGTCTCTGAAGGATGAATTCTGCTGGCCAGAGGCATTGGCATGTTCTCCTGGGTCACTGGGTTTTTCTTCCACTTTTCCTGTAGAATTTTTCTGATTCTCTGACTTGCCATCATTCTCATTGAAACCATCACAGCAAATCTCATCTCCTTGGGACAATGTCAATGGTATTTCTTTTGTATCCTCATGCTTACAATTTTGTGGGCCATCTGTTTTAGACAATTTAGAGGCTCTCTCTTTACGTTTATCTGCCTTAAGGTGGTTGTGTTGAACAGTTTCTAAATTATTCTTACTTTCATCTCCTGCAAAAATAAACAAATATTCTAAACACAGTCCCTAATCTCTGCCAGGGGAATTCTGAATTGCAGTGGAAGAGAGGAAATAACCAAGTAAAACCTTATAAATTACTTTATATAAAAACATTTTTAAGGCCAGTTTTACTTCTTTAACATAGGTGCCAGTGAATATTTTGTACTTAGTAATAACACTAATCAAGTATTTTAGCAGTTGTCAGCAACTGCCAAGAGACAGATTTATTAAAAACAAATTCACTAGCTTTATTCTAAAAGACTTAAAAAAAAAAGGGGGGGGAGGAGGAGGGTTGGCCCTAGCTGGTGTGGCTCAGTGGACTAAGTGCCAGCCTGCGAACCAAAGGGTCACTTGTTCGAGTCCCAGTCAGGGCACATGCCTGGGTTGCACAACAAGTCCCCAGCAGAGGGCACGTGAAATGCAACCACTCATTGATGTTTCTCTCCCTCTCTAAAAATAAATAAAATCTTTAAAAATAAAATCCTTAAAAAAAGGCGGGGTGGGGGGCAGTCCAGAGTAGGGGAGAAACTGAATAGCACACCACCTGAGGTGACACTAGACAATACCTGAGCACATATAGAAATAAAAACGATTACTACTATGGGCATACTTCATTTTAGTGTGCTTAGTTTCACAGGTGTTGCATTTTTTTTTTTACAAATTGATGGCAAGCACTTGCACCAGCAAAAGATTATGACTCGCTTTATTGAGATACTTGCTTTATTGTGATCTGGAACTGAACCTGTAATATCTCTGAAGTATGCCTATATTTATTGAGAACATATAGTGTCTCATTAATCCTAAAAAACAAAACAAAAACAAAAACGTGAGACAGCTATTATCACATTTCTTTTCCTTAAAGAGAAAACTAAGGCTGTAAGACTTAGCACAACTTATGAGTTATAGAACAGGGAATTAAATAAAAGTTTGTCTCATTCTAATGCCTTGTTCTCTTTATACACTTTATAGCATATCTTATAATGGATTTCCAAAGTATTCAGACCATCTTCTTGATCCCTCACCTGTAAAAGAGCTTTTCAAACTCCCCCTCTCCATGAAGCCATTAGAATCTGAGACCAACAGTTTTTTCTCTTGCTCCATCATAATGATCACAACCAGGTTAGGAATCAGAAATCCTGTAGAAGGAAACAGGTCATGCTTGAAGGTATTTGTTACAATCATTCTTCCTCCTTCCTTCCCAACCATTGTAACACAACAATTGTAAGTATAAAATGTTTTGTTAATAATATTGGAAACAATATGGTCTTTAGAAGTCCTTTTAGAGAATCTTTTCTCAGATGCAAGTGTTTAAAATTAAGGGTTAACTCAAGTTACTTTTTCCAAGGAAATGACTTAAAAAATTAAATTTTCACATTAAGGTCTGAGGATCAAGCTTCAAAAATAGAATGAATACAATACTAATTGTCCACTCAAATCTTAAAACACTTTAATTGAAAAAACAAAAAGTTTTTTCTGGTGGCGGGAGGGAAGGCAGCAATAGTAAGACTTCAACAAGTCAATATGCAGGTATAGGAAGCAGCCAAAGAGAAAAAAACCTGTTTAGTTTAGAAAGAATAACTCAGGGTTTCTATAACCAGTAACAAGAAATTAGTACAAAGCAGGGCTAGAATAATTATAAACAATAACCCCTAAATATAAAAGAAATCTAACAAGGGACTTCTTCCTTGCCTCTAAGCCTATTATAATCCAATATCCATTTCAGCCTAAACTTTATCTCCTTCAGTGAAATACAATCCCTGACCTACTTTAAGGGACTAGAAAATGTGATCTATCACTGGAAGGCAGCTATATATGAACTTGCCATCAAAGCCAAGCTATAAAGAATATGTAATTTTGGAAAAATTAAAGTCTAAAAGAGGGATATATAAAGGCATACATATAAAAAACAAAAAATGATATACTATAATTTTGACACTTTCGTGCCAGGCAGTGAACTGAATAATTTATACATAATATTTCTCATTCAATTCTTACAATAGCGCTCTGAGGTGTACAATTACCAGCATTTTATAGATGAGCTAAAAAAGATTATTTTGAACTTCTGGCCAAGATGGAGGCATAAGCAGACTTGCTTTGCCTCCTTACACAACCATAAGAAGGATCACAACTAATCCCAAAATAAAATACAACCAAAACTGCAAGAAAATTGAACTGTATGGAAGTCTGACAACCAAGGATTTAAAGAAGAACGATCCACACTGGTAGGAGGGGTGGAGATGGGGAGCCGGGGCAGAAGGACAGTGTGGCAGTGGTGAGGCGGTGACAGTGGTGGCTAGAGGAACGCATGGTCCCACCTTCACGTGTGGCAGATAAAAACTGGGGAGGGCACCTGGGGAGCAAGCCGTCACAGCCCCAGGCCAGACGGCACAGCCCAGAGTTTCAGCACTAGAAAATAAAGCCTCAGAAATTCTGGCTGTAAAACCAGTGGAGGTTGGGGTCGCAGAAGAAACTGCCAGTCTCTCAGAAGTCCATTTAAAGGACCTGCACAGCCCTAGAACTTACGCAAATCCACCTACTCTGGGATTCAGCACCAGGGCAGCAGCTAGGAGGACTCCAGTCATACAGGAAGTGGGGTAAGTGACTGGATGCAGGTTAAGAGCCAAGCAAGCAGCATAGTTCCCTTTCTGACCTCTCCCCTCCACACAGCACCACAGAGTGGTGAAGCAGATTGCTACAGCCTGGTGAATACCTAAGGCCCTGCCCCTTACAATGTAAGAGGAGTGCCAAGATGGAGTCAAAACAACTCTACCTAATACACAGAAAAACAGGAAACCTGCCAAATTGAGGAGACAAAGAAATAGGGCCCAAATGAAAGAAAAGCGCAAAACTCCAGAAAAAGAACTAAGTGAAATGGAGATAGTCAACCTGTCAGATGGAGAGTTCAAAACGCTGGTGATAAGGATGCTCAGAGAACTCATTGAGTATGGCAAACACATAAGGGAAGAAATGAAGGCTACACTAAATGAAATAAAGAAAAATCCACAGGGAACCAACAATGAAGGGAAGGAAGCTGGGGTTCAAACCAATGATTTGGAACATAACGAAGAAATAAACAGTCAACCAGTACAGAATGAGGAAACAAGAATGCAAAAAATGAGGAGAGAAGACGATGACTCTGGGGCATCTCCAAAAGTGCCAACATCTGAATCATAGGGATGCCAGAGAAGAGGAAGAGCAAGAAATTGAAAACTTATTTGAAAATATAATGAAATAAAACTTCCCTAATTTGGTGAAGGAAATAGACCTACAAGTCCAGGAAGCAAAGAGAGTCCCAAATAAATGGATGCAAGGAGGCCCACTCCAAGACACATCATAATTAGAATGCCAAAGATTAAAGATAAAGAGAATCCTAAAAGCAGCAAGAGAAAAGAAGAGCATTACCTACAAAGGAATTCCCATAAGATTATTAGCTTATTTCTCAAAAGAAACTTGGCAGTCAAAAAGGGATTGGCAAGAAGTAATCAAAGTGGTGAAAAGCAAGGACCTACAACCAAGATTACTCTACCCAGCAAAGCTATCATTCAGAATTGAAGGGCAGATGAAGTGCTTCCCAGACAAGGTAAAGCTAAAGGAATTATATGAAATTGTATTATATGAAAAGTTAAAGGAACCTGTTTAAGAAAAAGATCGAAACTATGAACAGTAAAATGACAAACTCACAACTATCAACAACTGAATCTAAAAAAACAAAAACAAAAACAAAAACAAACTAAGCAAACAACTAAAACAGGAATGGAATAATAGAAATGGGTATCACAAAGGGGAGAATGGGGGAAAAGGTACACAGATTAAGAAGTATAATTCACTGGTACAAAATAGAGGGGGGTGGTGTTAAGAATAGCATAGGAAGTGGAGAAGCCAAAGTACTTATATGTACAACCCATGGACATGAACTAAGTGGGGAGACTGCTGGAGGGAAGCGGGGTACTGGGTGGAGGGGGGCCAAGGGGGAAAAATGGGGACAACTGTAAGAGCGTAATCAATAAAATATAGTTAAAAAATAAAATCAGTAATTTCCTCCCCCCCCCCAAAAAAAGTAAAAAGGACATTTTGAAACTTTGCCAAGGCCATGCAACCCAAGAGTGATATACCAGGATTAGGTCCCAGGTCTATCTGGACACTGACTCTCACCCTCTCAGCTCCTTCAGTACACTAGACCAGGAAGCAGAGAGCTAGGCCTCGTCCCAAACTGCAAATGATCCTCAAAGAGGGCCTTTATTTAGATTATATTGACTGGATTTTTAGAGAACAGATTTACATCCCTAGATCTTATACCAATGGAGCTGGCATTCCCTAAATACCCACAGCAATTAGGGGTTTGTCATAAGAAAAAGTGAAACTAGTCTCAATTATAAATACCCCATGTTGGAGTAAGGGAAAAAGACACTTTAAATGGGGGTGAGGGGGGAGAAAGGTGTTCAAATGGGGTAATACGTTTTGTTTTCTGAGTTACATATTTCTGTCAAAGTCCTTACAAAGGAAACGAGAGACTGGGTAACAAGATACCGGTGCTAGCATTTTCCCTGCTAAAAAACTATTAGTTTTGGAAATAGAGTTCCCCCTCAGGTGCACTGGTTCTATCAAAGGGCAGCGAATTCAAGGCCATGAAGGGTATTAATAGGCTGTCCTTGAGGCCCTGGCTGGGTTGCTCAGTTGGTTACAGCATCCTCGCATCCTCGCATCCTCGCATCCTCGCATCCTCGCATCCTCCCATCCTCCCATCCTCCCGACAGGCCAGGTTGCAGATTCCATTTCCGGTCGGGGCACAGATAGGAAGTAACCGATGATTACATAAATGAGTGGAACAACAAATCTCTCTCCCTCAAATAAATTAAAAAGTTAAAAACAAAACAAAAACAAAACAGGACTGCCCTTACGGCGTCACTCCTTCATTATCCGCGCCCAACCAAACAGGGGATCAGGATGGGGCCTGAATGCACTGAGTGAAGCTTAGCTATTTAAGAACCCTTGGCGGGGACCACACAGGTCGGGGTGACCTGCGTGGTGAAGTTCCCGGAGATCAAACTGTCACCAGCTGATGCGAGCCTTTAAGAGACTCCGCAGACGAGGGAGGCGCAGTGGCCTAGGCGGGAGAGGCTGGGCCCTCACCCCTCGCAGCAGCGGAATCCCCCTCCGGGGCATACAGCGCAGCCTGGGCGGTGCAGTTTCCACTCCTGCCCGCAGCCCTTCCCCCCGAGAAGGAACTTACTGTTCTGAGGGCTACACACAAGGCTCTCTGCACCCTAGGAGGCCCAGATGTCCCGGAGGAAGGAATCCCTACCTCTGGCCCCACCAACCCAAGGTCTTAGACTCTGAAACCGCCGACAGGAACAGGAAGTTGCCCTAACTTCCCCGGCTGGCCTCGCCAGAGCCTGTCTAGGAAACAGAGACAGCCAGTTCTCGTTGATCTTAACCCGTAGGGCCCCGGACAAAAAAGCGTGAGGCTGTGAATTTCGTTTCCTTGGGCTGTCATTTACCAACATGGGTTTCCTTGGGCTGTCATTAAAATTCTCATTCCTCACACTTGTCAGGCGCCTTGTAATAGGGGCCTGGTTCGAGCTTATACTTTTCTTGACATCAGTGCATCATCAGATTTATCATCACCATTAGCATCAAAAGAAATCGAGTACTTATTAAGCACCTATAGTTTCTGTTCTCACCGCTATGGACATTATATACAATACATACATTTAACTATCTGTGAAACAGTTGGAGAGTTAGGGCATCCATCCACATATAAAACAAATAGTTTACAAGGCACCGTTGTCATGAACATTCGGAGGTACAGTTAAACTCTCTGCTTTTGTTCAGAGAAAATAGAAGACAGTCTCTTCATACCAAACATGCATATCTACTTGAGTCTGCACCCGTGGCACTCGCGTTCTTCCCTCCTGTTAAAACAGAGGATTGCACCTTCCCATTTCAAACCAGCCTTGTGCTGGTACTCAGTGTCTTTCCTGCCTTCTTGGCATCCTTAACCGTCAACTAACCTCTCAGTTCTCCCAGCTCCGTCCCAAAGTAGTTCCTCAGGTTTCATTTCTTTTTCTTACAATGTTGTGTTTTATCCTTTCCCACTCACCTTTTAACTCATTCCTCTTGAAGCAAAAACAATGAATCACTAAGATTACCAATGACCTCCATGTTTGTTAGTGTGATTGATATTTTTCAGTTCTCTGTTCCTTTTTTTCTGTTTTAATACTGCTGAGAACTCCTTGTAGAAACACTCTTGAGGTGATAGCACACTGTCCTCCTTTTTCTCCACATCTAGTCAGGCTTTTACCAGCCTGGTCTTTACTAATTGCTGAGGCTCCTCAAGGCCACCTAGAGCCTCTCCCCTCTTATCTCCAAATGTTCCCTATCTAGGCCATGTCATTCATTCCCACATTTTTAAAAACACATTTTAAAGATTTTATTTCTTTATTTTAAGAGAGAGGGGAAGGGAGGAAGAGAGAAAGATCAATGTGCATTTCTTGGACTCCGCTTCTGGGGACCTGGCCCACAACCCAAGTATGTGCTCTGACTAGGAATGGAACCGGCAACCTTTTGGTTTGCAGGTCTATGCTCAATCCACTGAGCCGCACCAACCAGGGCCACCCCTGCATTTTTAATCCCACCTACACAGACAACATACACATGTATATCTCCAGCCCAGGCTGCATGTCTGAGCTCTTCACTCTTATACCAATGGTGGTCTTGATATCTCATATTAGAAGTCTCAATAATGCCTCAAAAGCAAAAAGCCTAAAGTCAAAATCTTTTTACTTTCTAGTCTTATATAAACATACAAACACAAAAGAAAACACACCTGTTTGTCTTCCAATTCTCTTCCTCAACCATTCATCGGGTTGTGAAGAAGCCCAGAAGTCCTTTTCGTCATCTCCCTTTCCCTTACCATTACCAGAAATTTCTGTGCGTGTAAAGACTCAGAGTTCCAGTTTAATTCTTAAGGGAGGGCAGGTGTGAGTAGATTTGAACTTTTCTCCAACTCTCATCAGTGGAGTGCATCAAGGCAAAGCAAGACAAACTTATTTTGATTTGGAAAAGCAGGAAAATATGACATTTCTCATAGAAGAGCGGCAGAGTATGTATCTCAAGATGGTCACCCCAATGACTGTCATGCTACAGGTTATTCTTTCAATGCGCTGTTGACACTCTTTCCATCCTGTCATGGCTTTTATGTCCCCTCTCCTTGAACCTGAGTGACCCTTTGTAACTGCCTCAAACAATGGAGTATGGGAGAAGTGGTGATGTAACTTTTGAGTGTCGGTCATAAAAATAACACGCACTGCTTTATTATTCTCTTGCTGAGATGTCTGCTGTTGGAACCCAGGCACCATGCTGCAAGGAAGCCAAGATCACTTGGAGAAGCCATGTGAAATTATTCTGGCTTGGAGCGAAACAGCCTTCACATGACTTTGGCTCCAACCAACATCATACTGCAAACACATTAGGTCCCAAGAGGGAACCGCTTAGCAGAGTCCAGTCTACTCTCATAACTCTGAGAGGAAATAATAAAGTGATTCTTTTTGTTCTAAGATACCAAGTTTTGGAATGTGTTTGTTATACAATCATAGACAACCAGAATACATTTAGTACATTGAAGTGTGGGGCTACCTTAAGAAAAACCAAAAATGTGTGGCTTTGCCTGTGGGAACAGGTGGCAGGCAGAAAAAAGTAGGTCCTTAAGTAGGGTGTTAGTGAAAGCCTAAAAATGGCAACAGTGAGGGACTAAAGGAAATTGATGAAAAGTAGAAGATGGAAGAAAGGGCTCCCTATTCAGTGTGGCAGCAGAAATTTGGCAACACTGTTTTCTGTGTTAACATGACCTAAATGATCTTGATCAGGAGCTGTTAAACTTGTTCTGTAAGATGACAAATAGTAAATATCTTATTCTTCTGAGCCACACCATAGTGCTGTAAATCCTCACCTCTGCCATAATTGCATAAAAGCAGCCACTTGCAAAATTAGCATATAGGTGTGGGTGTGGTTTTAAAAAAAACTTTATTTATTTTAAAAAAGAGAGAAACTTGACCATCAGCAAGCAGTATTTCCTGACCCCTGGTCTAGCTAAGGAGATCAAGGTAGGATATTAAGAGGGCCACCTGGTTTCTTCTCATTGCCTTTGATAAAATTCAAGAAAGGGGAGATAAACCGAAGAACCAACTCCAGAATATGTAGGAGCTAGAACACACTGCATTTGGAAAAGAAATTGTTTTTCTCATCCAAGCCTCTCCAGATGATAAACAATGTTAAAATTAAGAAATGGCTTCTGGGAAAAGAATCGACATCAGACATTGCTCAAAATGCATGGCCTTTTGCAGGTCTTACTGGTATGTCTTGAAAAACTTCTCTGCTAAACAGTGGGATACCAAAGAGCCTTACGGGTCTTGTCCCACAGGAAACACACAAAGCAGCCCTGGCGAAAAAGGGCTTATCTCGCGCAGATTTGTGGTTGCAGCTTCTAATAGAGTGAATTATGTATTGATATGCCAAAAACCTGAAGATTTTTTAGGGTATTATGTCAGCTGAAACTGAATGGCACAGAGACAGCACAAGACAGTGATCCCTCAAATGTTACTGGCAGGAAGAAGACTATGAAAACTACTCAGCCACAAACATGGGTTTACTGTTAAGGGAAACCAGGTTATGTCGCCCCAGATAAGCTTCTTTGACATAAAAATTATTTTGAGCTGAGGGCATTTAAGAAGCAACAAATTCAGGAACGCTCTCTTCGGATATAAATTCTCCTTCACTGAAGATGACTCAACTCTTATCAACACCAGAGGAATCTGCAAACAAAAGTTCATCCATTCGTCCGTCCCCCACGCCCCGCCCCCGCCCCCGTATATTTACCTTCCCACAGTTTGCCTCCCTTGAATGCCTAAAACTGCCTTACTTTGTCTTGTCATTTCTCTATAGGTGTATTATTCTTTGTTAAAGGTGTAATATAAGGCAGAGTCCTAAATCATCTCTTTGAGTTACTCTTGCCCTGAGTATCTCCCATGTACACAGCGTGGGGCAAAGGTAGGTTTACAGTCATTCATATGAAAAAAAAATACAATAATTAATAAATAATAATACAAGAATAAATTCTGTGTTTCATGTACTCACAGCTGTAAATCTGCTTTATCTCCAGCTGTATATGAGATTTACATATTAATAAACTTCCATTTGTTTTTCTTTTGTTAAACTGTTTTCTGTTACAGACACCCAAGTTGAGAATTTAGAAGGTAGACGGAAAAGGATTTTTTTCCTCTTCTCCACTAGATAATATCTCAATTTCAGGACCTTTCTGTTGAGCCTCATTCTAGCAACCATGTTTCTCCCACTGGATGCCAAATTGCTTGTGGTTTTCAGAGCACAGACTATTTTTTCATACCTTTGTTCCTTACTCTGTCACAATGTCACTCACTGCTCCTGGCACACCTACCCTTATCCCTCTGCCTACCGCTGGCTGTGTGGAAAACGTTCACTCCTCATCTCAGCTCAAGTATAATCTCCCTAGTTTAGTCTCCCTTTACTCTCTCAGGAAGCTTACACCCTTCCCACCTCCCCCTCCCCAACTGTATTCTGTTTATCAAATTGTGTTCTGTATCTCCATAGGTTCTGAACCAATTGAGAAATAGACAGGGGTATCCAATAATGATCAAAATCAACAGCTTTGTGACAAGCAAAGCTGGATTGGAGAGTTGGCCCTAAGGCCCCAAGGTTTCCTATACCTCTCCATGTGTTAGACTGGCTTACTCACTCAGTTGTAGGACAGAGAAATCCTGCCCCAGAAATGTTACTGACCACATACACAAGAAGCAGACAACAGCTAATAAATGTTTCATGAAGAGGGAGATCTTAGAGCCCAAAGAAGGATGAATTACATACACACATGTTCAGTCTTTTTTGCCCCATCTCATCTATTGAATAAGTTGCTATTTCTGACTCCATAAATGAATGATGGGTAAAATATGAGGCAGTGCAATGAAGGGCAGAAGATGCCTTCTAATATTTTCCACAAAATGGTGGTTCTTATTTTATCAGACGGCAGAAATGCGGGAATCAGAAAAGGCATTGATGTCCTATCCTATTGCAAAGCATGGAAAGTTCAAGTCCCTTTATATTTTCTTCCATTTTCCTTGGTTTCTTTGTTCTTTCACTCATTTATTCAACAGATATTTAGTGTCACCTGCTGTTGACTCCTACACAGTCAACCTGAACAGGAGGTTGTATAGATTCTCCTGATGCCTGGCTTACTGATATAAGGCACTAGCAGAGTGAGCTTCATCCTTTCCCCAGCCATGGCTGTTTTCAGGCATCAGTGCC